GGGGTACGATCAGGGGTACCATATTTACATGCCAATAACACACATGCTAGTTGTTTTTGCACAACTCCCACTTTATTTTCATCAATGAGCTAAACTGTTGTTTTTCACAGGTTGATAGCTTCCATTTCATTAGTTTCTCCTGTCTTTGACTTGGCATCTGTTGACACAGAGGTTTGGTTCCTGGCTGCTGGACTAGCTCCTCCCCCAGAAGGAGCCCTTCTCTGCTCTGCAAACCACTTGATCCCATGCAGGAGGGACCACTTTCCAGCTTGGCTGCTAGACTTGTGTGGATGCCTTGGGGCTGACGTGAACTCCACAGACACCAAGGTGTCACATGTCCTTCACTCAGGTGAGCTGTGTCCGACTGGCCACCTGGGCGCCCTGTGGGGTAGGGCCGTTTACACTGGTGCCTGCACCACATCAACCTGCAACTTGCTCACTGGCTGTGTGGGGGCCAGCACTGTGCACAGCCCTCGGCTGGACACCCAGCCCCTCCTTCTCATCTCCAGCATGACCTACCTGGGCGCAGATCTGTTCCACGACCCCCAGGCCCAGCTCCAGAGCAAACGCACAACCTCACTGACTTGTTTTCCAGAGCACAGCCGCTGGCTCCATGACTCCTTGACCAGGGCTTATCCAGGCAGCATCAAAATGACAGTCTTGACTGGTGAATGAAGATGAGTGAGGTCAAAGTTCACATCTGTCCACATCACCAGAAATGCTAAGTGATGCATGGGCTCGGCATGGCAACCTTTCTGTCTATGATTTCTGCCTGTTGTGCAGGTGACCTTGATCTTTTGAAAGTTCATTTTGTATGGCTTTACTTTTACAAAAGACCGACACTAGTAACTATTTTTTTCTACCTGAAAGAAATCCAAACAGGTGTTTTCGCTCTTTGGCAAAAAGTAAAACTAACACTGAGCATTTGCTCTGCGGCCATTTATTAAAGAGGCAGTGCACACCCGAGCGCTGAGCCACACAGCAGCACCAGCGCTTTGAACTGTGTCTGTGAACATGACACGCTAGTGATGTTTCAGGGTTCATGTGCTATTTGCTATGGTTTGGTCATTTGGGGGGGTGTCTAGGAAGGCTCAAAAGTGTCCCCACATAATCTAAAAGGAATTTTGATTGACAAGCTGTCATAGGAGCGTGCTGCTTTCAGATACTGAGGGAAACCTGTAGGTGTGCATTATTCAAGTGGCACCATTTGCAAAAAAGGACAGTGCTCTGAGATGTAGCTTTGACTTTAATTTGTTTCCCAAATGTACAAAGGATCCTTTGCTCTAAAGTTATGAAATTTAATTCAGTGTTTTAGAGGCTTCCAAACTGCTCTTCCCACTCCATGTCTCCCTTCTCCTCCCTGTCATTCCCAGGCCCAGACGGTCGTTCAATTCTTGATCACAATGAAAGAAAAACCCGTAGAAACTGAGGTCCTGAAACCAGTAAAGGAGCTAATGCATTCTTTCAAAACCCAAACCCAAACTCATTGCCATTTCTGTCGATTCCAAGTCAGAGCGAGCCGACAGGACAGAATACAACTGCCCCCGTGGGTTTCCAGGATGTAAACCTTCTTTTTCTTCTTAAAATATAAATAAATAAAACTTTAATGGCTTGCAACCAATTATTTGAAATTATTTTTTGAAGTTTTGAAGTTATATGAGAGCACAAGAAAAAGAAGGCTCACGCAAATGAACAAAAAGGAAACAAATGGTCTGAGGAAGAATGATACTGGAACTACCAGACAACACTCAAAACAGCTTTTTAAAAAAATCATTTTTCTCTTCTTTTTAAAATCATTTTATTGGGGGTTAGTACAATTCTTTTTTAAAAAATCATTTTATTGGGGCCTCGTACAACTCTTATCACAATCCATACATCCATCCATTGTGTCAAGCACATTTGTACATTTGTTGCCATCATCATTCTCAAAACATTTGCTTTCTACTTGAACCCTTGCTATCAGCTCATTTTCCTCCTCCCACACCTTCCCTCCCTCATGAACCCTTGATAATTTATAAATTATTATTTTGTCATATCTTACATCATCTGACGTCTCCCTTCATCCACGTCTCCACTGTCCGTCCCCCAGGGAGGAGGTTATATGTAGATCCTTGTAATCTGTTCTCCCTTTCCACCCCACCTTCTCTCCACCCTCCCAGTATTGCCACTCTCACCATTGGTTCTGAGGGGTTTATCTATCCTGGATTCCCTGTGTTTCCAGTTCCTATCTGTACCAGTGCACATCCTCCGGTCCAGCTGGATTTGTAAGGTAGCTTTACAAGAGCAGCAAGCCTCATCATTCTTCCACAGAGCACCTGGTGGGTTCAAACTGCTAACCTCATGGCCAGAAGCCCAACAAGTAACCTACCACCTGGGCTCCGAAAACAATGGCCAGTGTGTTTCCAACCTGTTCAGTTCCAGCGTTGAGCTTCACCTGCGCTGCCCTCCCTTCCCCACTGAAGGTGAGGGTTCTCCATGTTCAAGCAGCTTTGGTCCCGAGTGAATGAATACGCATGGTCCACTTGGTCAAGGAGGCAGCCGTGGGAGGGTCAGAGGGTGCCACCCCTGCAGGAGCAGTCTGGGGACTGTGGGGGAAGATTTGTTTCAGCTCTTTTGTTTTACTCTTGGCTGAATTCAAAGGGCCCAGGTTGACATCTCATCTCAACCTTTCTCAACTTTGTCTGGATACGATACGTGCCATTTCTCTCAATTTGTGTGTGTGTGTGTGTGTGTGTGTGTGTTTTCAAGCAAACTGATTTCTAAACAAAATCAATTTAAGGAGGGGCTTATATTTCAGACAGAGGGTCTCAGTGACCTTGACACACAACCTGTTGATTTCATCTGAATCCTGGAAGAAAAGGTCATCTTTAGGTGACAAAGATCAGGAGGCTGCAAGCTCAGGTAGGAGTTTTTTTGAAAGAAGGTCCCATGGCATTTGCAATATATATGGTGCCAGGAAAGTCTGCCAACATTGATACCTTAGTATTAGTCACTAAAGCATGCTATTCATACCTCTTAGCACCACTTGCATCAAAAGGATTTATGTTGTCTTATTTGTTCATAGTGCCAGATTGTGAACTTCTTCAGAGCAGAATTCAGATCTGATTGATCGGTTGCACAGTTTCTGGCTAGAGTGGCCAGGTGTAGTAAAAACAAAATAAATATTTATGCTAAAAAAGATTCCTAGTGAGGTAGTTAGTTTATTGTGCCAACCTGGCCGATAAACACATGTGGGGTTAATTGAAGGGTAGATGGATAAATGGCTTGGTGAGCCTCGCCTTTCTAGTTCTTGGGTCTCTTGCTTTCTGATGGTCGTACCAGGGTGCAGCTGCCTTAGCAGTTCTCTGCTTCAGCTTGCAAGGCTGACTTCCTGCAAGACATCCCCAAGGAGAAGCC